ATATCAACGAACGTCAATAATACTTCTGACTGCAGATCAATTACACACTGAGTACCCAGACATTACATTCCCCTCTTTTATATACCAGCCTACCCTATATCTAGTAAGAACTAGAACGTTCGCCAAAGTACATGATAGTTCTAGAAACGTTGCGTCACAGTAGTCATGTGACTCGATGACGCAACACTATATTATCTTCTCAGATAATGACGTTCTTCTATCATATTGTTACGTCTCTGTTCGTTAGTTAATTTTCCGTAAATTCGTTCCGACGAAACTTTAGCGACACAAGTCCTTTCTTAAATAAAACTGGTTTATTCTTTCCGAATACAACTTTACGATACACTTAATTTCAACAGTCGCTCTATTACAACGCTATAACTCACGTCTCACGTGGCCAACAATATTTTATCCGCATACATTCAATTACTCATTACCTCCCGTCGCTTCGTGGCCGGTCTTATATATACAAGACTACACTATATCTAGAAGGATCACGAGATTTAAGGAAAAGACGGAAAGTTCGAGAATGACGTGGCGTGATTCTAGTCACGTGACCTCGATGTCGTAACAATATTTATTACTTGTACGTGTGCTTGCTATTTATTACGATCTCTTGTTAATTAGGGATGCACTTGCTCGGTAATCCACTAGAGGGTGCTACACGTGTGTCAGACTCTTCCATTGTGATCTATATAATGTTTCTGTTTTGGTATGGATTAGTCAACAGTTTTGGTGAGGCACTCAGTAAATGTTTGACGGTAGTCATCTATATCAGGTGGTTTCTCGGTTCGATTTATTATTGATTCCGGTAGTAATTTATCAAAAATGTGCATTTTTTTTCCAATTAGCTTTTTTATAATTAAATTTTGGTTTTCTTTTAGGTTTATTATGATGGGGTTCGAGATCGAAGACACGTGGTGTACTTACTTATACTTATAGTACTAAGTTATAGGTAAATGATCGCTGTCAACAATGAAGTTGGAACATTTATTGCTGATTTGAGATGAACATGTACATAGATCTAGAATGGACGTGACGTGGCGTGATACTAGTCACGTGACCTCGCTGACGCAACAGTACTAAGTTATAGGTAAATGATCGCTGTCAACACTGAAGTTGGAACATTTATTGCTGATTTCAGATGAACATGTACATAGATCTAGAATATCACTAGAATTATATGGAAGACACGTGTGTGGAGGAGTGGTATCATTTAGAAGCACACGATCATTGATTTCTAGGAATCAAATAATTTTGTTCCGTTTGAGGTAATTGTATTACATCCGAAAGTTGTATGTTTGCCATTTAGATCCCCTATCATTATCATGTTTTTGTTGTGTTAATTTAACTTACCTAATAAATTGATATCAATTACTTTGGAGGCAGAGAAGTAAATATCTGCTACCATAATACATTCACTGTTTGTTACATGGATATCTACTGATATCAATGTTGAATTCGGGGTTGATTTAGCCTCATGAAAAGAAAATGTTCTTCAGAGCTCATCAAAATTTTGTCAGCTGCTTGTTTCATCACAGTAGAACTTACAACCATGTATATTTTTAGTTCACTAATTTTCCTAATTTTTTTTTTTTGTCTTGAACTCGTATTCTGTTTCTATGTGTACTGTTTTATCAATATTTCAAAAATCATCAGTAACAAAGAATACAGAAATTAATAGAACAGGATGGCTGAGATAATTGAAAATTATGGCCGAAACATTCAACAGCTTCTTTTAGTGGCATTTCCGGATGCTGTTGAAACCAGTGGTATGCACTCTGTGACTCTATAATTGTATGTAGTATATTTCATCAGTATGTTACACAATTTGCCTCACAGACTGCTTCAAATATCCATACAGACATTATACGTATTCTGTATATTTAAATAATTTTTTTTATAATCTTGTAATATGAAAATTGATGCAAACTATTTTCATAAATTTATTTTAAAAAAATGATTGCTTTAAATAATTCCTACACCGCTTGTATCTACTTTCCATGGAAGTCTTATCAAAAACTTTACCCAACTTTTTTGTGATTTATATACACTAAGCATTAGGTTATGCTTTCTTCTTATGTCCAGTTTAGTTATTTTGGATCTTTTTTTAATATTTCAAAAATAAAAAAGAATCCCTTAATCTTGTCACATGCTAAAGCATACCGATTTTCTCTGGCCGTACTAGAGCTACTAGACAAAACGTTAATGCTGGAAAATCTATTTTAAGTGGCTAACTTAAAAACCTTTAACATGGAAAATAGTTTGATAATTTGATGCAGTTTGTAAGTTACTAAGGAAACTGCCACTTACTGAGTTATAAAGATCACAGCTTTATTTATCATTTAAAACATGTACAATTGTTTTATTATGTGTAACCTGATCAAAAACAAAACAAATGCATGAAATTGAAAATTTCTGATACATTTAAACTTAATGTCTGGATTAAATATTTATGTGATTAATTGGAAAATGTTTTACACACTGCAGCTAAGGAAAACTGACCGATACTTAATGCTGATTTAATGAATATCCTGTACTGTGGTTTTAATTGGAATAATGGAAAAGATAAATGTTACATGGCACTTCTAATTAATTTCAACTTTAAAAATTGTACAACAATTGCATAAGCACAATAAAATGATTTATTACAAAGGTTTGTTTCTTGTAAAACACAAAGCTACACAATGAGCTTTCTGTGCTCTGTCTACCGTGGTTATCAAAACATAATTTTTAGCTTTATAAGCCCATTAACTTATTGCTGAGCCATCATGGGGGTTTAATCAAAAGGGCTATATTATTCATTCTGCATATTATTTTAGATTGAACAATTTATTCTTTCTAACATATCATTTCACTGTGCATATAAAAATCACTGAACAAAGTTTTAAGGTGAAAAATGGTAATGGTCTAACAGACTGCAGCTAGCAAAAATCAAATGGTATTTAATACCAGTGTAGCTTTAGCACAATGGAACGTGACACCACAATAGCAGATACAAAGCCAAGCTAACTGGTGTTAATGTGACACCACAGTAGCAGATACAAGCCAAGCTATCTGGTGTTAACGTGACACCACTGTAGCGGATGCAAGCTGAGCTATCTGGTGTTAACTTAACACCACAGTAGCGGATGCAAGCTAAATAGTGTTAATATGACCCTACACTAATGGATACAAGTAGAGCTTACTGATGTTAGAGTTATTTACTGCTAAAGTGATGCCATATTCCATGAATTATTCAGATAAAATGATTTCCTGAAGCAAGATATTTCACACAAAAAAACGACTTAAAGTTACATGGAATTAGTTGCTGAGCTGTTCATACAGTTTGGGAACGTACTCATCCCACTCAGCCTGGTAGAAGTTTCCTGCCCATGGATCCCCCAAATCATATTTAGCAGCAAAATCTCGAATTTTGAAATTGCCCCTGTGTTTGCCTGACGTGTTAGTAAGTTGTTTTTCTGTGGGGTTCAAGCATTCTGGTTGCTTGTATACTACAAACACGTAACGGTGTAGTCCTGAAAAAAAAATACATACAGCTAATTAGACCCTTTTAAGGAAATAGGTTATCAAACTGCATAAAAGAATCTAATGATTTTACACTTCTTTATTTGTTTCACGCATATTTATTTTGTTGGAAACTGTAAACAATATTTAATCCTTTAAGATATTAAACCATATGACCTGATAATAATTTCAAGTTTTATCTTATCACTGACACACTTAATGGTTCAGAATTCAGTTATTTTCAAAGTTTGATCATTATTTAAAATTCACACTGCATATTACATTTTACAAGAAAATGTAACAGGTTTATTCTAATTGAAACAACAGATGTCACCACTATTCCCTCCTGGGATTTTAAGCCTAGCAGAATGGGGTGAAAGTAAATAAGCCCTCTTACTAATTGTGCTAAAAAGCTAAACCATTTGCTAATGCTACTTTTTTTCAGACAGAAACTGCCTGGTCATCAAATCATCTCTCAAAAACATGGCTAGATCCCAAGCCTACAAAGTTAAACTTGAGAGGTTTTACTTAGGTACCAATTTGGAATGTCCCAAGAGGTATGTAATCTGTAGCCTGTCCAATAATGTGATAAAAATCAGTTGCTTTTATCAAGATTGAAGAGATTAAAACACTAATTGGTAAGTTACTTTTAAGCCACATATACAATCAATTTGTCACACCGTACTCTTTAAAATTACGACAAACTGGCAATTCATTAGATTCAATAATGCAATATTCAAATACAATGTCATTTATCATCCAATTAGTCTTGTGAATAATAGCATACATAAATTATGGAATGTTGGGCAGAAGGTTAGACAAATCCGACAAAATTTTAAAAGTTTTATGTTTTTTGTCCAAGGCCAGGACACATTGAATTTCACTGTAAGAAAATATAAGACCTAATAGGTCCCTAAACTTTTGTAAAAATGTGACCCCTCCAATCAAATCTCAAATGATGTTGATGTCTACTGATATGTTTATCACAATACTCAATACTGTCAGTGAGGTGCTAATGTACTGGTAGTTGTTCACCATTGAAAGAAATAATTGAGAAGTAAAACAGATGTCTCAAGCAAATAAACTAATCATGCTTCTAAAAACAAATCTTAAAGTTGGTAACAGAGAAATAATTTTCTAACATTCTGAAATCACCTTAAAAACCTTGTTGGAATAGATTTAGCATACATGCAGTGCAATCAATAAAACATATAACCTTCTGTACCACAGAAATTTCCTCTGGAAACTCACCTGTTCCTTTTGGAGGAGCTGAGCCAATATAGTCTGATAATACTTCTCCTTTACAGATGTCCTTTCCTGGAATATTCACTACCAACCAATGATGCCATTCACGAAACTTTGGGTTCTGCCTACTCGGGGCATCTGGATCTGAAAATATATACTTCCAATTATTGAGTTAGAACACAACATTTTTAATATGGAAAAAATACTACCAATTATTTTTAATTAAAGGATTACAGTGAACATTAAACCTAATTGGCTTACTAAAGACATAAATGATAAAGTCAGAGATAATTAAACACCGCAAGTGGTTTACATTTACAGATAAGATAGAAGAATTATAGGAGAAAAAAGATTTGGCGTAAAAAAGAAATTAGTAAGTCAAAAATCGTTTATAAGAAATAGCTGATTGATAATGTTCAAACTAAAAAAAGTATGTTTAAGTTGCAGAATATGAAAATACCATGCATTTCAATATTCTTCTATAAATATAGTATTTATTCTGAATTTATCATTTATTCTGTATATGTGCAGGTTTCATATAAAAAGTGGTCAAAAAAGCTATTAAGTTGATCTTTTTGTAGCTGCCTTTGCTCCTTTGTAATGCTAAAGGAAATAGAACATGTTCCGCTAAAGAAGGGGTGATATTGTTGCAATCCTGCATGTTTTACAACGATGTCCATCAATGATGGTTCAGGTGATATCTTGAAGTTATATCCTCACCAATGTTTGAATGAGAATGACCAATCACATGGGCAATGACCAATCACCAGTCACTGTTAATAAATAAAAAACTTCTTGAGAAGTATGCCACATTGAACTTAGAGAGTCTGATGCATAAATATGGTCTGATCAGTTGAAGATTTGAACATCCTGTAAAAGTGATTATATCATATAAGTAAAGCAGGTACACATACTGTGCTCATTTTGTGTTTCACTTTGTGCCCAGTCTCTCTATTTCATTAAATTTTCATGGTGTAATTATTCAGAGACTAAGCATTACTTTGTGTTAGGTATCCTGACTGAATCTCCTGTTATTAAATGGATCTATCCTATTGCTTTTAAGTGAATTCAGTTTTACCTAAATATATCACAAAGAAAGGAGAAAATGTTGGTGCTGTGACAACTGGATACCTTGTTTTCTGCTGTGTTTATCGTCCCCTGTACTTGAACTTCCATGTCATTAAGTTTTAAAAAAGCTTCATGGATAAGAAAATGGCATTTTTCACTACCTGAAAGATTTACAATCAAGAAAAAGAGCTGGTCACTGAAGGGAGACAGTTTTACAAGAGTGTTATCAGGTATAGGACACATCTTATTCTGGACATCTGACTACTGTCCCTGCTGTGAAGGTCCGTGACTTCTTTATCATTGCTGTCACAGACTGAAGAAGGAGAACTGCCAGGACTTTGTGCACCTCGAATGGTTGATTGAGTTTTCTTGATGATCAATCTCAGTGCACAGTGCAAGGGTCATCAAGGTGGTGTGGTGTCTAATGAGACTGAGGCTCACCTCTGCCTTGTGGTCCATTTGCTTCACCAGTCATTGCCCATTAGCTTACTTGGTGGTGAGAGAATTTCTATTGGTGAACATCTTCTACTAACTGCAGCTGCAGTCACTCTGAGCTAGTCTTGGGTGGCTTCGACTAAAGCTGGGGTGGGTTACTTTGGCTAGCAAAGGCCTTGGAGTCTTAAACAGACTGCCCCATTTAGCCTCACTGTGCACTGAGGTTGATCATCAAGAAAACTCGATCAACCATCCAGGGTGCACAAAGTTCTGACAGTTTGCCTTCCTCTCCAAGCTGAAAGGTATGCTGCCAAAACAACCATAGATCACAGTGAAGTCTGGGGTCAGGCAGAGGCAATGGACGATCTACCAAGTGCATCCTGCCACCTTAGAGTGTCAGGGTCCTGACTGTGCCCATTACACTGTACCCCCGACATTTAGGATGTCTCGGTTTGGTGCTGGCTAAGAGTCTGTGGGAAAAAGGCTATGCAGATTTCTCCTCCAACATTTCAGAGTATAGCTAAAGATATTCTGAACCACTTCCTTAATCATCTCAAACATGTCACTGTTTGGAATGAACAGATTCATGGGAAGGCAGGATAATACCTGATGCTGAATTTGTATGGTTCAGTGCTTGACTCGATCAAGCACTTGGATAAGGAGGGATGAGCTGAGAATACTTGTCTGTATGTTCATGATGAGATAGATAAAGAAGTGATAGATTAGAGACAGCTCTGAGAGTTGGCTGATCCACTGTTGGCACCCTTCTGATTGCTGGAGGTTTGGATTAAGTCTGATTATACAGAGCTAGGACATTCAATGATTGTAGGACTAATTACTGAAAAAAAAGGCAATTCTTACTTTCCAAGCTATTAAGTGATGTTTACAATATAATGTATACACTACACTGTGTGATTTTAACTTGATTACAAAGCTAGGATAGCTGGTGCTTTTAGATGTAATGTCTAGTACATCACTAAATTCTACAACTGTAGATGATAGGTACAATTCAAAAACTCAGCTGAAAAGGCATTGCGACCTTTCCTTTCTGAGCTTTTAGATGGTATTATAAGGTAGTGTATGCACTACATATACGAGTACCACTCAATTATCTGAAGTTACAATGGTTTGTCAATCCTAAGATTAATAGGACCTTTACTTTCAAAGCTATCAAGCAGAGTTTCACTATAAGAGATATCCTTAGGATATTTGATGACATCTTCTTGATTAACACAATTAGACTAAAGATTTTCCCAACTGAATGATGGCTAGAAATTCGAAAGCTCAAATGAAAGAGCTTTGCTATCTGAGCTACCAAATGATTTTTCCAAGGCAGAACATCTAGCTGAGGGGTGAGAAAGCTATGGAGAATGTTACACATTCCTGCTAGATCTGTTCTGGTACACCTGAAGAGCATATAGCTTCTTCACGTGCAGTGAGGGAGTTGCATTTTATTAATGTGTATTAATGTTAATGTACTTATAGCATGAATGTTAGTCCTTACTTACACAAAATTTATATTAAAAGTCTGTCTTTAACTTAATTCTGTCAGTGGTTATTATTTCATGATGCTTGAAAAGATGGCAACACCTCACTAGGCTTCAGCTAGTTCAGAAAGTAACCTGAGACATTTATGAAGTAATTTGTGTGGGAAATGGAGGCAGTCTGTTTTGAGCTAGTAGTGTATATGAAGACATAATGAAAATATATGTATAGAACATTACACATGCATAAATAGATATATATGTGTGTGTGTGATCCCACATACATGTAGGAACATTTCATGAAGTAATTCATGAGTGTTGTATTACACAAACAGATCCATTATACAAAGAAAACAAATATTAACATTTGAATGGCCTGTAAAATATTATCTAAAGATGTAGTGCACTTGTTACTTTCATTAATACTGATGAGAGGTTGTTTAAAATTTAGCAGGAAGTGAATTTTCAAAGAAAGATAAGAGTAATGAAGAGACTCACACTACATCTGAGAGAGAGAGAAAACAGTCTTAGCTGTTGTTTTTTTGTTAAGAGGAATGCAAAATATTTTGATTGGAATGAATCGAAATGTTCATGAGTAGGTGAAATTATCAGTAGCATATGAAATTTACAGAAAGTAGCTTACGTATAACAACAAATATAAGCTTGATGTGGTCAGTGCTTTATTTGGATGTGGGAGAATATTTTATCAAGCAGATTAAAATATTTATTAAAGCACACAGTTTTTAGATATTTTTCTAAACATTGTTTCACTACAAAGTTCTGTATAAGATGCATGAAAATGCAGGCCACGAGTATACTAGGAAGAGGTGGAAAATAACACTCACTTGATGGAAGTTTTTAAGTTGCACCAAAGCTAGTACTAAACCTGTAACTGGAAGAAGGTCCCTAAGGAAAGAAAATGTAAATGTTAGTTTATTTTAATGGTCAAAAGTAAGGGTTGGCATCCCCTAACCCAAGTCAGGTCATGTGTGTAGTAACAAATTTTGCAGGCTTGACCAAGTTCCTTCCTCATTGAATTGGACATTATTTTGTGCAGCAACCAGAAGGAAGGAATGGGTTTAGTGCTGGCTGTTATCACAGGAATGGGGCTATTAAGGTATTGGGCATAAGGAGACCTAATGAAGCTTGTGGATCAGGAAGGTCATGGGCAATAGGGACACATGTTCTAAGGGTAATTAGAGCATGAGCACATCTGAACCCCCATAGAAATGTCGTTTGATCAAAAGTAGTTTTTAGAGAGGAGTAATGGTTGTAACTAAGCAGTTATGCCCATTTTCAACCTATGCTCGTAGCACTATTTGACAAATTGGAATTAATCTGAATTTACATTTCCAATTAGGACTTTTACTATTTAAGATCGAGTTCTTGACCAATTTGGATATCTTGCCTTCAACCAATCTGTAGTGTATTTTTGCTTTCTGTTATGTGCTGAAGCCTCTATTATTTTAAGCTGCCCTGGAAAGATAAAGTTACAATGACAAACATCAACATGCCCAGGACTTTCTCATCAATCCAAAGACACTTGGAACTGGCCTGACTTTCCACCGGTGGAACCTATGGATGAAGATGTATTGCAGACTGACTGACTAACTTTTGAGACCTTAAAAAGTCAGTTGTCAGACTGCTGCTGCTGAACTCCTTGAGGTATGAGCAGCTCCAGTTGGAAGAGCTCATATCCCAAGAATCTCAGCTATCATCAGACAGAGTGGTAGAGACCACCAACAGTCACCCTACCACCACTTCTGTGCTGGTTGAGCCAAGCTTATCAGCACCTCAGCAACAGCTACTGATTGCCAAAATACCAGCAGTTAAAGAAGAGAAATGGCAGAGGTCTCAGAATCAAGAACCTCTTTTTAGGTGTCCCATCAGTGTGCAATATCTAAAAATGGTGAAGCAGAAGTGACAGATGTGCAGCCACATCTCCTGAAACACAGTTAAGAAAGGTCTTGCCACCTTCACAAATACCACTAACACCTATGAAGTTAAGGACCTTTGCAACAAATAAAGAAGCTTTGACCATGAGAACCTACCAGACCAGACCAGAGGAGATGAAGCAGAAAGCCTCTGCCTATGTGTAAGCTGGACAACAACCACTAAATAAGACCCTGAGAGTTGACCAATTAGCAATTGATAAACCCAACCATACTCATAATCACTATCCCAAACAACCCTAGATTTCATCAGATCTACTTCCTCAAACAGCACTGCCAAGAGATGGCTTAGCAGACAGAGGCCTGGGCCTCTATAATCAAGAGGAGGATTGGCTTTGGCAGAAGACCACACCTTCATTGTGGCTTCAATAAAACATCTTGGGATCTGAGCTAGAGTACATGAGAAGTGCTCTACTCAAAGTCCATGACACCATCAGGGCAACCAATTGTCAGATAACTGCCACCTTGGAGAATTTACTCAATGGCCTAAAATGAGGGCAAGGACTGAACCATTGGACAAGGGTAAATATCATATGATGTTGTTTTATTTTAGAGATTTCAAATGTTGTAAATATAGAGGTAGCTCTGCATTTTGCCTTTCTTTTCTTTTGATTCTCCGTACTTGTTATGTCTGTGTTGAATCTACTTAAAGAGTTTCTTGTAAGTGTGGATTACTTTGTAGGTGTCATTAAGAGTTTGACTCTTTTACTGTATTATAAACGTTTACTATGTTGATTGAGATTTTGCATCAAAATACTTGTGTTAATACGTGTATATTATCCTTCTAATTAGTATTTAGTTAAAGATTGTTTCTTAATTTTTCTGGGGGTTTTGTTTTTGCTGTATGCTTTAGAAAGGATGTGATTAAGGTGTTTTTCTTTCCATTAATTTGTTTTGATTTTGTTTTAGTGGAAAAATAGTTAAAATGAATTATCATTGTTAAAGGGTGTTTCACTACATATGTTATGTCTTGTATTTTTAATAGGAAGAGTTCTATTAGTAGTTTTGTTCTAAGTGTATTATCAGTACTTTGTATTACTATTATTATGAGAACAGTTTACTACTTTTTGTTTTGTTAAATGATGCACTTGTCCCTTGTTAATGCCAAAGTCTCTGATATATGTGTTTTAATTCTATTGTATCAAGGTTCTATTTTTGTATTACATGTAGTTTTATTGCTTAAGGTTTTCAAAGTTTGATATGTAGTTTATTTGTTTTAAAGGATGTTTTATCAAGTTAATTTGTACTGTATTTTCCTTGTTCATGGATTGTGACATCTGTGATGTATGTAAGTGTTAAAACCTCTTCTGGACCTGGGAAATAATTCTCCCAACTACTTTGAAAAATATTGTATCTGATCTGGAAGAAAATACCACCAGTTACTTAGTTTGAAAGTAGCATCTGGACCTGGAAGAAAGTAGAGCTCGTTACATTAGTTTGAAGAAATGTTTAATCAACAACTATCTGATTATACAATTTTAAATTAACTTAACTTCTACAAAGCAATTTTGAAACTTACCAGTCATACAGAGGGTGTAAAAATCATTAGCTTCAAAAGGATAATTGATGTAAGTTGGTGGGTCTTTAACTTGGGTTGGAGTCAGCTCATTTCCCAAATTCACCTCATCATCGCCATACTTTACCTGTAGAAGAGAATCAAATTAGAATAACGGCTGACAGAATGATGACGGTACTAATAGATTGAGAAAACACAGTAATATAATACATGAATACTGTTGTTGTTGATGACAACTGTTGTTGTTGATGACATTACACCAACAGGTTATGTAACTATTTTAATCTATATGCAGATAAAATATTCTTGATTAACTTATTAAAATTGCTAATTTAAAACTCATAGAAAAAGTTAAAGAAAAAAAAATGAAGTTACTGACTTTTAGTTTAGGTGTAACATGATCATTAGACAAGCTGGGGAAAAACCATTTTTACCACTACTACAATACAGCCTCCTACAGTCACAGAATTACCTAAATTTCAATACAGACTTTAAAGGTAATTCTGAAGTTTACAGTATTTAAATCAAGTATAAGTTTTACGATATATGTAAAAACTGAAATTCACTAATTTCCTGTCAATGTCATGTTAACCCTGTTCAATATTCATGGGGCTGATCCACTGGACTGACCCTGTATATTAAAATAAATTTTGACTATAATTCTAAATTTGCTAAGTGTATCTACACAAAATGTGGCAAACTTTTAGTAAAATGTATAACTGTGTTGCACACAAAAAATCAGACACGTTACAAAAGTATTTGTACTCAAGACATGCCTGTGAATTCCCTACAGCAGTCTAACTCAGACTGTGACAAGTCAGAGTGTAAGATGATGCTCATGTGAAAAAAACAAACTTGTTCATTGTACAGTTTTCATATTGCATTTGCATAACCCCTAGATTCTCGAAAACGTGTATCTACAAGGTATCTGAAAAGTCTGGAAGCATAGGTGACTTGCAGCTTTTCTTAATTTCAGATACGTGACTGATTATGATGCTGTCTAAGTATGAGGATGTCAAGCTAATCCTGTTATTTGGCAGATAAGGTTGCTGCCAAATTTAATGCACGCCATCCAGAGAAAGAGAGAGAAACATTACTCACAGTGCTGTTGGGAAGTTGCTAGTTCAATTTAAGGAGACTGTCAGTGTAGACCATTGACAATTACATGAAAATGCTTTGCAGTGTTCAAAGAGAATAGAAATCTTGTCTACAAACTTGTTTTAAATTACAAAGACAGCATGTGGAACACATTCTGTAAAATCTGTTGAAGTGACAATGGTTTCAGACATCTTTAACACCCTGTACAGTTTTTAAAATTTTTTTTTCATTATTCTGTATACTCTATTTGGTATTTATTCTCCTATACCATAAACTGCAACTAAATCAGTAACATAGAGTAAAATTCTCTAACTATGTTAAATGGTACCCTGTAAAAGATTTTGGTGTTCCCACTTTGACCCCACCCATGTACATAGAATTTATGTCATGTTAATAAGGTTGCAGCAAAATTAATGGTTTGTTCATCACTCTTTCACCCATTCACACTGGAAATTATTTTTAACTGAGCTCGATGCAACTCCCATGGTACCATTCCATCATAAGCCACTGGTTTCTTAACTGGGCAATGCTGTTGATTTGACAAACCAAATTCTGTCACGGATGTTACAGCCATAGTGGTAACAGGTGTAGACTAAATTTGTTCTATTCCATATCTTATAGTAAATGGTGTTTAGGTTGATACTCTTGAGCATATACAGAAAATAAAAGTGGCTTGTTTGATATTTGCATTTACTAGTTTCTTTTCTAAATGTTTTGTTATAGAAGTTATTTGCTACATCATTGATCTCACTGTTGTAATCCCTCTTTACTTCTCCAACAGCTTCATTGATCTTGTCTTCCATGATAGTTATTTTTGTTCTCAATTCTTCTTTCAGTATTAAATCTCTTTCATTTTTGATTTTCTTTTAATGCTGTTTCTTTCTAAGTGGTCTTCTTTCAAATTCCCCAGAAAATTTCTCATTTAACTTCATGCTTGTGTTGTCATGTGAAAACTTAGTCAAAGTGATATTTTATTTTCCCCAAATTAATCCCACTTCTGACACTATTATTATAATGTGTTTTATCATTAGCAGATTCTTTTACATTATTTGGTAAAAATAATATGAAGTCAAGCCCATCCTAGATAACAACTTCTATATTTCTTCAATAACATTTGCTACAGGCCTAAATATTTCAAAAGAAATTCCAAAACTAATACTTGTCTAACTTATTACAAAATGTCCTCACTAATCCATGAATAACAAACACCCTGACTGACGTACTAACTTGATCACACATAAACAGAGTCATTTCTCTCACTGTCTGACTCAGTAACTGACACTAAAGTGATTCACTCATTAACTCACTGCTTCACTGATTGATTCACTTATTAATATTCTATTTAGTGGATGCAATTTCTAGATCATTATATCATCATCCCAATTAGTTCCTTTCAAAAAAAATAAATAAATATATATATATATATATATATATTAAGATATTAAAATAAAGACTTACTAAAATTAATAATTACT